TCTATATACAAATGTCTATTTTAAGTTGAGTAAAATATAAGATTAATTTGTGTTAATTAGGTATGTACAGAAAAATTTGTTCTAGAAATTCTAAAATTAGAATTACATTTACAAATATATATGTAATACAAATTATTTATTCTACTTCATTTTTCTAACAGATCTTTTGCTTCATTAATTTTGGCTGCTATATAAGGTGATCCACCTCTATCGGGATGATTTACAGCCATAACTTTTTTAAAATGCTCCTTTACTTTTACTTTATTTGCAGTAGGAGACACACCTAATATTAAACTAGCTTCTCGACGAGTCATTTTATTCTCAAATCCTCCTTTGTAGTATTTATTATTTGATAATTTCTGGAATGAGTATTTAGTTATAATATTTGTAATAAGGGTAAAAATATCTTGTTTGAAATAATTTACCTGGGCATCTAATGATTTAACAGCCTCTGACATTCTTTGAGACCAACCAGGCATCCTCTTCAAAATATAACGCCCAGTAAAACCTACTACAGCAAGACCAATACCTGCTGCAACAAGTGAACCGGCCTAAAAAAATTAATGTCAAAGACTAGAAAGAGGTATTATAGGCTTATCCCTATAACAAGATTACTTAAATGCACCTAACCAAAAAAAGATAGGTCCATATCTTTCTAACACACCACTCAAATTAGAAAATAAATTAATATTAAAATACGAGTCAAAGAAATATTTTTGATTATATAGTAGCATTTTAAAAAATAACCATGACGAAACAACGATGTAATATGCGAGCACATGTATTATAGCTAACTTATATATATTTGTAAATTAAAAATATTGAACAAAATGATTACAATTATTAAAAGTGAATTATTAAATATTATAGTATATAACTGTGATTTAAATATTATATTTATATTCTTACCATTCCGCTGGTATTGTCAAAACAATGCAGAAGTTAAACGCAAATACTTCGGCGTAGCAGACGAAATAATTTTATTAGGCCATTGAGTGAATTAATGAAAGACCTTCTCTATGACTGTTCCCTGAAAGTAGTTAAAACAACAGCAGCGCTAATTATTTTAAGCTGCTTTTAAACAAAGTGAAGCATGCTCTTCTTCATCTACTTAGTGATTAATACATATAATTATTGACATAATGGACAGTATAGAACTACTAGATATAAACAAGATGTTAATAGTGCATAAACTGCTGTTTCGAACTGAAATAATACAATTTTAACTTTGTTGCGTACACATGCATCTATATATTCAAACAATGTGTGAAGTATTCAGATAGAAATATGAAATACAATAATGTCTCATCATAGTAATCCAAGGCGGGGGCAACCGGCACAGAATTATGAAGCAGGTAGAGAAACTGCTTCTCCTCTGATTGATTGACGCTTAACAGTTAAGCAGTGCTGCCTTCATAGTTTTAGACAAAGAGAGAAAGTGGCGAGTGAGTAAGAGGGCATGAGATATAACCATGAGAAACAAGCACACCGACGACCTATGTAGCTTGTCTCACTTTACCATGCTTGCGATCTCACTCTATTCGCGCATTCGTTTGCCTGGCACTTCATCTGAAACACATGGCGCGACATTCGACTTGTACTTTTCGCCTCGTAGGATTCTCGACCGCACAATCCAGTGTATTTGCGAACGTCTTGAAATGACAATCATTTCTATAATTATTAAAATTTTCGAAAACCCGTAAGCTAGATTTTAGTTAATGGTTTCTACTTTATGAATCTACAACATTTTGTTAATTCAGCCATCATACTTGTTAACTGAGACGGCTAGCAATCAATATTCTACTGTATGAGAAGGAGTTTCGTAATTATTTTCACAATTATCGAAATAATTTCACATTATCACTTCTGGAGTGAATAAGGCTGGAATGAATTTGAGACTCAGAAAAGGGCCGTTATTATTAAATAGAGGAGCCTGTGGAATACAGGAGGTTGTTGTTGCTTCTATGGATCGATCGGAAAAGACGAAAAGTGTGTCAAATTTCACAGCCCGTAATTCTGAAATTTGAACTTCGTGCATGCTTTCAGTTACTGCGGATCGTTACCAACGTTTACATCGTGGCGCACACGTGCGCCGCTTGTAGTTAGGACGTTCGTAAATACGCTGGACTGTATGGTCGGGAATCCTACTGGGCGAAAAGTACAAGTCGAATATCGCGCCACGTGTTTCAGATGGAGCGCCAGGCGTACGGATGCGCGAAAAGAGTGAGATCGCAAGCACTGTAAAGTGAGACGGCCTAAATATTTCGTCCGTGTGAACACTCTCATACACAGGGTGTCCCAAAAATGTCTCGCAATTCGGGAATGGTGGATTCCTCAGATCATTTGAAGTAACATTTTCCTTAGCGGAAATGCGACTCGCGACTTCGTTTACGAGTTATTAACGAAAAACGGTGTCCAATGAGAGGCGAGCACAACTGACGCGAGGCGGCCCAGCCAACGAGCACACGAAGCTCTGTTCCGCTGTTTCCGCTGATCGCCTCTCATTGGTCGCTGTTTTTCACTAATAACTCACGAACGAAGCCGCGGATTGCATTTTCGCTAAGGAAAAAGTTACTTCAAATCAGCTCAGGCAGCCCCCATTTTCGGATTGCGAGACATTTTTGGGACACCCTGTATAGAGTCCGCTGGTTTCATTCTGTCTCTCTCGATCATCTCCTGTTCTCCTTCTAAAGCAACTGCGCGGACCTAGATGCGCATTAAAAAAGTGCTGCCATTTACGACATATGTGCATACGTATGTATAACCACAGACGAGGTGTAGGAGTAGATTAGGCATCCAATGCATTATTTCGTCACCCAAGAGTGGGCTTCAGAAGCCCCATTACCATTTCCATGCCGTGCTCATCTTTACCGATATTTTAGCGAGAACCGAGTATTCTGTATATCTTGGTTGTATTATGGCCCATTTTATGATTCGTAAGCCACAAATTCATACGGTGCGTACATTTAAACGATGAAAATGATACCTCCCAGCATCCTGAACCGCTTTACAACTTTCTTCTAGGAAAATACAAGTGGGAGAAATACCCATCACAAATGGGATTATCTCATTTGTGAGGTTTTCTATCCGCCACTTGGAGCAGATTTTGAGCAGAATCCCTGACACCATTGGACAAACTAGAAACCAATGGACACATTGGTCTTGAGTAGAAATTCCACGAACGGTCAGGATGCTGGAAGGTTTGCCTATGAAGCACAGGGTATCCCAAAAATGTCTTGCAATCTGGAAATGGTGACTTCCCGTGATCATTTGAAGTAACTTTTTCGTTAACGAAAATGCAATCTGTGGCTTTGTTTACGAGCTATTAACGAAAGACACTGATCAATAAGAGGCGAGTTCGACGTCGCGAATGCGTAGCGGCCTAGCCAACGAGCGCACGAAGCCCAGTTGCGCTTATTGGTTCAACCGTCTTGCGCTAGCTGATCTCGCCTCGCATTGGTTACTGTTTTTCGCTAATAACTCGTAAACAAAGCTGTAGATTGCATTTTCGCGAAGGAAGAAGTTACTCAGGAACCTCCCATTTCCGAATTGTGAGACATTTTTGGGACACCCTGTATAATAAACTGCAGATACGAAGTTCACTATGGGAGTTCATTTGCAATTAATTTGATTAATTATATCATTAAAAACAGAGGTTACAACAATTATTATAATATTATAAGGAATCTTTGCACATCCTAAAAATTTAAAAAGTTGATTGTGCATAATTTATTTCTTTACATATATAAACAACTAAGCTTGCAGACATTACAAAAATTTTAATTAATGTCCTTAATAAATTAAAAATTTTCTTTTAAATCTGAAAAGCTTTTTTAATCTACCAACTCCACAAAATTCGAAAATGTTGGGATTGTTGTATTAAATATTGTAACTTTGATGTCAGTTTCCGATAATGATAAAGTTTGCATATTGTATTAGTATGATTCTTTTATTATTACTACATGTGTAATATTGAGAAAAAAATAGTATATAAAAAAATGCAGTCGTTTAACGTTTTCTATGATAGTTTGATTTCCATTGTCGGAGAATCCAGAAAGAGAGTCAGCGGGGTTAGTACTTGAGGGTGCCATAATTTAGTGCTTCCACGAAACTAATGCAAATTCCACTGAAAAAATTAAAATTCTCTCTCCCTTTTACATTTGAAATGAGACTACGTCTTTTTTCATTACATACTCTAAAACTACCGTAAAAGAAGCTACCGTACATTGTAATTTAAAAAAAAACTCAGTATCATTAATAGGTTTGAATATAGCTTGTCACACACTTTAGTTAATACAGGCCATATCGTTTCAAATTCTTTTTAAATGTTTAGAAACAGTTTTAAAATATTTTTCGAATGATGTATTAAGATTCACCTGATTAGAAACTAAAAAAATATCTGGTTAATAATTTTAAAAAAGAATTATACCAAATGATGTTGAAGGAAAGTGCAAAATATTCCAATATATATATAATATATAATGCATACATCAGGTTTCGTTTATGTATCATGTAAATAGAATTTATAAAATCGGCACTCCTGTCCTACCACAGTGTCTCGAGTCCAGTAATGACTTACCTTGGTAGACAAGGGTAAAGAATGACAGTACTGAAAAGAAGTAAAACATACATCAACAGCGTGCCTGCTCGCGTGCCCAGTGTTCGCAGGAAAACTGGTCACACATGCACGGGAGTTCCGACAGCGGCGTGACGCGTTTACCACGTGAACATTATAGTTCTGAATTACAGTCGCGATGCAACGAAGAGAGCCTCTGTTTGATTCTACTAGCTAGAAAGTCCGGAACCCAGGCGACAACATTGCATATTGATTTTTAGAGTCGACAACGCTGTAAAATAGAAACGAAATTTCTGTGCTACAGTTTTATGTAGTCCACTAGCTGACTGTTCTATTTAGGCAGAGGGCGCGAGAAACCTTCCGTTTTTAGCGATGTCGGTATTTCAGAACATGTGACACGGAACCTCATATGCTGACCAATTTACTCTGGTAGTTCGTCTGTGGTATCACGTTCAACTGCATTCAACCACAGACTTAGGATTCGTACAGACAATGCATCTTATGGGCTTTTCTGTCTCAGCTTTGGAAGGCTCGAGATTAGTAACACAATTTCTGCTTGGTAACGTGGAACTCCTAGGATCGAAACTCTGGTAATGTAGAACAAAACGTGTCAGATCCCTGTAATTTATAAGTTATCGCATTGGCGCGTCGGAAACCGAGTGTGTATATCTCATAATAAATATACCTAGAGTATATTAGTTTGTCTTGTCTAATTATTTAAAAAAATTAAATTCTATCTTTTGGATAGAGTATAGAATGTAGAATGTTTTCATCATCAGGTAATCATTTTGTTACAAGGTAACTAAAATGGACTGAATTGAAATTCATTATGTTTGTTGATAATTATCAACATCTGTTGCTTGTAATAACTGCTGCTAATTATACACAGAGTTACGTACAATACCGTGGCTCTGGCTACTGTTACTAAATGACTGACGTGTTTTTTTTATAGGTACATTATTGCATTAATGCAATTTAAATTGAGCGAACTTGGCTAAACCCGCTGATACATAAATACACGTGGTCGAGTAACGATTAGTGTTACCGTTAATTACATTTATCTCAACGATTCTGTAACAAAATCATGACCAAAACTATTTATCGACTAGAAACAGCCGGGAGGTCGGTTCTTTCCGTGAGTTTGCTATAGAACCGCCAAAACAAGGAACGAGGTACGGGTCGTTCCACTTCTTCGTGTTGATCTTTCGCGCTGCAATAACTTCCGTTTGCGTACCCGACCAGCGGAATAATATGACTGACATATGTTAGACGACGGAACGAATACAGTAACGGACGATGCTTCGTAAGAAAACTTTCGAACTATAACGGACAGTTTGGCAATGCCTTAGGTTATTTTCCAAGTCGTTAAACATTATTTACGTGTTGTTGATTACGCCGAATATTAACGTTTGCGCGGGATACTGTACTGGTAATGTGAGAGGTTAGACAAATAGGCTTTCCTTACGCAGATAGGCGAACTCTTTTCTACAAAATTAATTGCGACCACATTTACATTACGTGTATGTAGTAATATTTTGTACATATTTAATTCTTGTGTAACAATATTTGACGTCGCATTCGTATGTAGTGATGAATAATATTGAGGATATTAAAACATGCAGGTAGTTATATAGTCTTTCCGTTTCATAGAATTTCTGAGATGTCGGGTGAACCTATGAGGATTATAAAGTGGGAATTATTCTGGCCTCTGGAAACTAGCCATTCGCCTGTGTAGCAGGTATACCGTGTATCATACATTCATGAACATTTCCCGATTTACTAGGAGGCTTGTGTAGGTACCGCTACCGTATGTGTGGTGCACAGTTATACGAATTTGTTACGGCGTTCTTTTTAACGAGAACGGGACGAAACAACGTTGCAAACTCTTATTATCGCGTTACCTATGTTCTTCCAGATGCTGAAATGAGGACCCCGTTCATCGGTTTTTATCGGTACTCCGTGAGAAATTGTAACTCCGTAAATCTATTCTGAACGTAGCTGAAATGTCGTGTTGTTACCCACGTTGGACATTACACTTCAAAAATAATGCATAGTAAGGGAATTTTAGGTAAAGAATTATAATTTTTAATAATAATGGTTAAAGGCTATGAGGAAAGGGACCGCGCGACGTCATAAATAAGAATCGCGTTTCGATCTTATGCCAATTTTTTATGCACCCGATGTTATACTTCTTGAAATCGATAAACAAAAAGTTGTATAGCATCGATGATATTAGTTCTTGAGAGCCGACGCGCTAATAAGAACTTATGAAGGTCAACTTCGATACATTTATTTTGTGTTTCGTGAACCACCTTCTATACGGGGTGACCAATTTCAATCTTTAAATACAAATTACTCGCATATTGTGTGTCAAATGTGATGTAAATAGTCCTTTTGTAGACAGAAGATTCATCAAAATACCCCTAAATTGATGATTTTATGACATAAAAATACCAATACTTCTTTTCGTAGAGAATAACGAGCTGTATCAATTTAAAAAAAATGTGTATTTAACCCTTTGGAGTCTATCGGGATATATGTGTCCCACCTATGTATTTCGTACGCCTATTGAGAGAAATGAATCTTGTTTTTCCACAATACACGAATATACTAGTCTTAGAACGCATACCACGCACATTTGTTTACATGTAAACCAATGGGACACATATGCCCCAGCCCTTAGCGTCTAAAAGAAATAACGGAATAATAAAATCAATACTTCTTGTTATTAGCATCTATATGTACGTAAAACTTGACTTCAGATATAACGCAATTTGATGAAAAACAAATCAGACTCCAAAGGGCTAACAAAAATTCAATTCCATTTAAGAAAAACGTATATCACCACCATACGGCCTCTACGCGTCCGTTTACAGAAAAACTGTCTTCGCCAGATTTTGACCCTCTCGAAACCATTCGCTTCTTCTCTGAACTACCTTTTTTATATAACGAATAGTGTACGAACGATTTGCATTTAATGGTTAAAATCGGTCGCTCTGTACGTAGCATGTGATCTTGGCTGTGACTCATTACGTTTGTATAAAGATTTGCAGGGTACAAAATCGTAACTGCGAATATTGCAACATTGCGGCCGATACGACGGAAGGTTGAAACCGTCGAAAAGTTGATGGCGGAGCGAGAGAACGACCGGTTCGAGCGGAAATCCAGGGCGAAGGTTTCAGGGTTCCGGTTGCGATGCAGGGTACGGGTCGTCGCCGCGTATGCGTCCGTATCGCAGCGAGATCCGGGCGAAGGAGTATCAGGAAGAATGGAAAGGGGAATGTCGGTCACTGGGCCTTTCCTCGTGATGACGGTACTCCGTTTAGCGCCTCGGGGCCACCACCTAGGAATGTTGGAGGAGCACGAGCCTCTCTCTTTCTTACTCTCCTCTCTGGCCGCTGTTTCTTCCCATCGATTCTCTAAATTGGTAGCACTCGCTTCCACGACCTATCCGGCAAACATCTCTGCTGAATTTTTGCGAAATAAGTCCGACTACACGTACAACCGAACAGGTCGTTATGTCTGCTGCCCGGGGAAGTATCGTTTGTTGGACTTAAAGTACTTACCGAGCGACCAATGCCATTTGTTTTCAATTAGAAACACTGCAGGAGCATGTTTGTCCTTTGACTCGTGTTCCATGTGCCGGGAACGTAATCCCAATGGAATAAAATACCTAAAACAGGTGACTTTGGTAATTCTAATGTTACGATTAAATTGAATTAGTCTTTTATGCTATGCTTCTTTGTTCAGCAATTTTTATCGATGCTACCTGCGACAGAATAGTTTATTGCAAATCTTTGGACTACATTTGAAATGTAGGATGATTCGATAGTGATGTTGCATATCCTTACGTATTCGTGAATCGAATTCACGAAACGAATCGTAATCACTATATGATATATGTTTGAATGTAATTAATGTTTTCATAAGCTGATAACTTCGAATATAAGACTGTGTGTGTATAAACGTTGTATAGCTTAGTAGCTTCGTAAAGCATGCAGTTTGTTGTACCGGCTTCTACAAGAGCACAAAGTGCAATGCAAGCGTATAAATAATTATCTCTATTTTTTATGCTCTTTTCATGGAGTTACGGTTGATACTATTTTAATGGAATCCTCGACGACGTTGCTAATCCACCGCGCAGCGAGGCATTTCGCAACGAATTAACGGATACGATTAGTTCCTTTTCCGTTTAAACATTTTATCGGACATCAATCGATCGTTCGGTTGGCCGTTTAATTAAACTTCCGTCGCAAAGTGCAGCAAATTGTCCTGTAATCAACTTTTCATTCAACATCAATTGCACGTATCCGTTTCTATCGCATCTTTCGTCGATGCTAATCGATGGGACATTCCGTTTTGCGTCACAACACTACTGACTTTTGCCTGTGTGTTTTATACATTATTACGTGAAATCTTAACACGTCCTGTGCCACGTGTACCACCGATGGTACATGCTTACATGTTTACTTAATGCGCTAAAAAAGTAGCTCATAACAAATTTAGAACGAATTAATTTCCACCGTAAGAATGGTTCATAATGAGTTTGTTTTATTGTTATATATATATACACGATAATTAATAATTACATATAATATATCAAGTTTTAGTAAAATATCAGATGGCCTGTGCGAGGAGTCGAGTAAAAACAGCTCGCTACGGAACGTGTTAAGCGGAGACTTTTAATGCAATTCCAATTTCAGTCACATTCGCATTTGCCATGGCACTCAGCCTCAAGTCATTGTACTCGGATTAAATTTCAGTTACAGTTCCCGATAAAAAAGGTTGAAAAACGTAACTTCTACATTTCATTTTGTCATTCCAGCCAACTGAAATTTTAGCAAAAGTTGTTTTCCAACATCTCGAGAAAATTCAAGTCGATCGTAAGGTATGGATTACTTGATACAATGAACAATTACATTGTTTTGTCCACACAGCGAAGAAACATTGACAAGCCTATCTATCGATCGTTCCAGAACACTTTAAGAGGAGCACAGAGTTAGATCTGCAATCACCTACAGAAGCTGGGTAACTCGGGTTCCCAGGTTTTCGAAGCGGACAGGTTCCATTTGGATGTTTTCCGGGCGGGTCCGTCGTCGCTTAACGAGACCAACGGACACGGTTGAAACGCCAGTGTAAACCGGGCGCGGTTTACTGCATATTTCCGTAACGTCAGGACAACGCCGAGTACCGTAAAGGTGAAGAAGCGGGTCGCGCGCAGCCGGATCGAATTCCTCGCGTACCAGCTCGAACCGCATTAATTTTCAAGAGTACGCGCGCTAGAATTACACCGGATCCTTTCGGCGAGAAAAATGGAAAATAAAAGGAAGGGAGAGAGAGAGAGAGAGGGAGAGAGGCACCGTCGATGCACCAGCGAGTGCACGGTAGGAGGATCCTGGTCCGTGCCGTTGCAGCGCCGTTGCAACGCGTCGGCTCGCCATTCTCTGCGGATGCAGCCGCTGCAACCGCACTCTTTCGTGTCTACCGGCTACGGCCGCGACGAGTACCGTAAAGTTGCCGGAGCAATACGTTCCAGAATCGAATTCCGGACGTGTTCGAGCAAGCCGCATGAATTTTTAGCCATAGCCTGGCGTTCGGTATTATGCCGGCTCCTCCTGAATAAAACTAAAGGGAATAAAAGCGCGGGCGGAGGCGGCATGTAAGATGCACAGGCTCTCGACTTTCGGGGGTCATCGCCGCCTGGTTTATTCGACGGTGGATTCCAGTTCCCAACGCTGGAATGAAACATTTAAATGCGTTCACCGTCTGCTGCTGACGCTGCCCCCGGAACAGGCAAATTTGTCTACTTTATTGTAACTTTTATTGTTACTTCGAAACACGAGCATCGCGTTTCGAATGTAATACCTTGTAATTTCTTTAACGTTTCCAAATTTGATTAACACTCTACTTACCGGAATAGACATTGATCACTGAATGGTATCAAATTACGCGAGGTGAATTTTTATAAATATTTTCACATTTGAATACCTCTTCAAAATAGTTGCCAACTAGTTAGTAAACACTTCAATCGTTTCAGCTGCATGAAAAAAAGAAGCTCGATAATTTTCTTTTAGATAACATTTTTGAAAGAAGTTGTTTGTATCGGATTGGCAACTAAGTTCCCGCCATATTTTTAAAGTTTAACATTCCGCATGTCATTAAATGTTTTTGGCATAATTCGAAAGAGGATGTTTTGTTCTACCGGAATCTGTGTTTTGTTTTTTTGTTCGAGTTAATTTATGTTAATTTTCAGATCATTAAAATGGAATGTGAAGCTGAGAAAAATGAGCATTTTCGGCACCTCCTTCTTTTTACTTTTAATCAATCATTTTGCTTTAATCAATTTTTTAAAAGTTTATTTTTCAATAAAGGTTAACAACTAATTAATCAATAACATAATCTTCCTTGTTGTTATATATATATACAACTTCTTTCCAACGTTCAATGATGATAGAAATCACTCGGTTTAAACTCGATAAATTCAACCAACCAAGCTCGTTGACTTTTATTGTTGTCATTTAAAGCATGCGGAACCCATGCTCCACACTTCTGAACTTTTCGCACTGAGTGAAGATGCTTCTCTATAGCAGTGTGGGAGTATTCCATTTTTTCAGCCAGTTCCCTTGTCGTTTGACGCGAATTTTTCTGCAAAAGTTGGTTTAATCGCTCTTCATCGAACTCGACTGGACGGCTAGTAGGAGGTGCGTCTTTGAGGTCAAAATTTCCATTTTGGAACATGGCATACCAATCACGAGCGGTTCTTTCAGCTATGGCACCCTCTCCATACACAGCATAAATGTCGCGAACAGTTTTTACGGTCTTATAACCTTGATTAAAAGCAAAAAGAAGTGTTGAAAATACTCAATTTTCTCAACTTGACATTCCATTTTAATGATCTGAAGATTAACAAAAATTAACTCGAACAAAAAAACAAAACATTGATTCCGGTAGAACAAAACATCCTCTTTCGAATGATTTAAAACATTATGTCAGAAGCATTTAATGACATACGGAATGCTAAAATTTTAGAAAACGGTTGCGAACCCAATAATACCGTAATTTCTTTAACGCTTCCAAATTTTATTATAACACTTTATTTACTGGGGTAGACTTTGATCACTGAATAGTGTGAAATTACGCGAGGTGAATTTTTACAAATATTTTCACATTTGAATACCTGTTCAAAATAATTGCTAACTTGTTAGCAAAAACTTCATCGCTTCAGCTGCATGAAAAAAAGAAGTTCGGTAATTTTCTTTTAGATAACATTTTCAGAAGAAGTTGTTTGTATTATACGAATCCTAGTAATTTATTGAATTATGGATGATATTGCAATCACTTTTGGACCATTGTTTAAAGAGCTGTTAATTGTTGAATTACGATTTTAATGGAAGTGTTAGGTTAAAAATGTTGAAAAATGAATTGATGTCATACAACTTGACGCGTTTGAATTTTAATTAAATTAAGACAAATTGCTATAAATTTATGAAATTGCTGAAGTTGTTGGGGTCGTAGCTAAAGTATGTTAGATAGCTGGATAAATGCAGTGTTCGAAATCGAGAGATTCGTAATTAAGAATAGGCAAACATCAAGTTCGTGATATAAAATATTTCATTCGATGAATTGGAAAATAAAATTCAGGCAAAACGTATTAACACATCTATAACGAGTGTAGTCAATATAGGGTAACAATAACATATAAAGTAAACAAAAATAAACATTAAAAATATACTTATGCTAATAATAAAATAAAATAATAAAATATAAAATATACTTATACTAATAAATTATACTTATAATATTTAAATTTGTTTTTAAAATATTATAACATTTTATTAGTTTCGATGGAATTTGTTAAAACATTGTAAACATAATTGGGGTGACTCTGGACACTCAGGACAATGCGTTATAGTCTTTTGTAAACTTCTTTTTGACTTCGTGGCGCCGCGCCGGGAGAAACTCTACCGATTCACGCTGGGCGATCAACGTGTTAAAAGGAAACACGATGTTCCAGGCTAATTGAAATTTACAATATTACAATTCTCGCCTTGGTTTATTATTTTGCGCACAGACGTTTGCCGATGTTCCGTAGCAGAGGCCGTTGACTGCAACAGCGTGATTCCGGATGGTTTTGGGTCATCTGGCCGATCGATGACCCGTCTCAGTTATTATTGAAATGTAAGCACCAAATGTAACGTCGCAAGTTTTTGCGGTTTCTCTTTTATCCATCGGCGGGTGGTAGGAAGGAGATTCGACCAGAATCGGTTGTGTAGTAACTAGTCATAGTTTACCTTGCGAGGCGCGGTTTCGCGATTGATTTTTTGGTCGACGACTATCGTCTCATCATTTCTGTTACCCGTTATAACGAACACATGTAAAAACTGAAATTTAGGAGTGCATATCGCGCGGCGCTGGCAACTTTTTTTTTTATTATTAAACGAAGTTCGCAGCATTCACGTTGTTCCATTCACCGATAGCTGCTCGGTGTTGAAATACTTTTAATGAATATTGAACACGGAAATATCGTTGTGTTAGTTTGTGTTACCAACTAACAAGTTGGCAACTTGTTTGAATAGTTGTTCAAATTTGAAAATATTTGTAAAAATTCACCTCATAATTTGATACTATTCATGCGGTTTTTCGACAGTCTAAAATTGCAAAGCATGTTGAAACTTAGATTAGGATAAAAGCTTTTGCATCCGAACTTTCTCCATTAAAAGTTCTCTAATTAAAATTTCTGTTTCCAAATTGTTCGTTGTTTTCCGAACCGCTAAGCAGAGGAATAGAGCAGACCCATTGTTTTTCGCTTCTTTGACTCGGATCCAAATGCCAGAAGTTGCGAATTTCTTAACAAAAACTTTACGAGAAAGAACAAGTTGCAGAGTTAATTTTAAAATTAGCACAGAATTCGGCTGTGAATATCGGGCAAGTATTGTTAATTATTAAAATACTCCGAGAACGATCGAGAAATTGAAAAAAACGGGTAATCAAATTTTCCATTCCATGGTAATGAATGTGTACTCGCGATTTTAAATTACCTGCACGCTGTATTATCGGATGTTCGCGAGGAATTTACAATTATACTCGAACTCGAGTATTTTCGTCCGTGTCATTACGATTTCAGCTCGTTATTTCGGTTAAATAAGTTAATTATTAAAGTTTCACAAAAGTTTCTATTTTTGCACTTTTGAACCGGTACGTCCATTTGAAAATGTTCGCATAGAATCGAAACTATTTTCGTCGCGTTGAAAAATTCAGTAGAGTCATACGAATTGAAGAGTTTACAAGCAATTACAGGACAAACTTTTCGTATTAAAAATTTGTTTGGCCGTAACTTTATTTAACACTAACTGTACCGGACGTTACAAGTGACTCGTCTATGTTGCCTTATACGAATTACAGTATGGAATTTATTTAGACTTCTCAATTTTTATACTAACACTTTAATGGCGGCTTTAATTTATGCAAATTCGTGAAATAATTCAACATATACGAACATACACATAAAACAAAAAAACCAACAACAACAACAATAATAATAATAATGCATTTAATACAACAAATTTAATATTTTAATATTTTTCCTTTGCGTGATCATTATTATAGCGATCACCTACATAATTATTAAAGCATCACACACATGTTGTGTGAGCGGCCATTACAGTGTTAATATATGTTGGGATGAATAAATTTATTGAATGGTCACCGGTGGATGGATCTTTATAATTTCAATAATTGTAGAATAAGAATCGTCGAATCGGTCATTTAATCGGCGATTATATTGTTAGTGTTAAAAACGCCAGTTAACATAGAAATGTACAACGAGTAAGGGAATCTAAAGGCGGTTTTTTGTTCCCCGAAGAGAATTGTTGATACGAATGCCGTAAATGGATACCTGATTGTCCAGAGGAGATCCAAATTGGAAAAAGGGGAAACGGACAAATTAATTCTTGCACGAATAACTAAGGTATCCAAACAGAGTTTTAAAGCTTTATTATTCACGTTTGGTTCGTATAAATTTGAATTTAAAGATACAAGGAGGAAGTATAGGAATGTTCAAAGGGTGAGAATTTAAAATAGTTTTATATTTTCAGAAGACCGTGAAAGACTGTTGAAGACAACCGAGTACCCGATTGTCTACAAGAGATTAAAATTGTGCGAATGAGGGAGAAAATCGCCCCAGTAACCAAGGTATCCAAACGATAGTACAGCTGTAGTACTTACGAATTAACTTGCATAAATTTTAATTTGAGAATACACAAGTCGGCATGGAAACGCCGAAAGAGTAAGAATTGAAAGCGGCGTTGAATTTTTCAGAAGAACGCGAAAGAAACACCGTCGAAGAGAGTACAGTGAACAAGGTATGTACCTCTCTCTGGATGCCCGATTGCCCTTAGGAGGGTGAAATTGGAAAAATGAGGAACGGACGAGGGTTAAATTGACCCGTGTGTGTTTGTGTGTTGGCGGGGAGGGGGCTGATTTCCGCTGGCAGATGCGGCAGATGCGGATCACCACCGGCGAAATTTCGATCGAATCGACCAGGGAAACAAGATTGGCCCGTTCACTGGCGTAACGCCGGTGGTGTCCAGAGAGTCTGGCGTACGTCGACAGGGCCGTAGAATTCTAGAAGGGGGTCATCATACGAGGCCGGCTCCGGCGAACGCACCGAGCCAGGACAGTATACGAACGTCATTCGGCGCGGACTGTTGCGGCGAAAGGCGCGCGGCGTTCCCTATCGAGAGAAACGGAGAGAAGGAGCAAAAGCGAACGAGAGGAAGAGAGAAAGAGACGGCGAAGGAGCGAACGGTACCGCAATTTCAAATCGGAGCCAGTTCTCTATATACCAATTAACGAATAAAAACCGGCCACGGTGCGCGACTGTTTACCATACACCTGTACGATCCGTTATCGACGGTACAGTGCAAGGAACCGAGGCATTGTGAAACAGAAACAACTGTTCGCCGGAAGTGCGAGGATTTAATTTAACGGCGCGTTTCGCGTGTGGATTACAGCCATCGAGGTGAGTATTTTCTGTATTTTCTTGCTTCGCCATAGCGTTTCTCTCTAATTGCCTCTCACCGGTGTCATAGTGATCGGGCCGCGATCATTTTCACACGTCCACAGAGATTCGTCCTCGATACTGGAAGTTCCATTCAGGATTTTGATCCCGAGAAAGCGGCCTGGTCCCTTTCAATTCCTGCGTTAACGACCGAAATATATCGCGGTGTTTTCTATAAGTTAACTTGATTTTTCGGCTCAGCTACGGTGCTTCTTTGTAGTCCTGTAAAGACTAGTCATTGACGCAAGGTTTCATTGAAAGAATGACAAAATAAATGCCTCGCGTATTAGCACCCATTTTCGAGATGAAGTACGCCGGTGCGGGATTTTATTTTATAGCGCAATTCAGAAGAGTGTAGGATTACTTTTCGAAAGGACAATGAGAACGCTCTTTTCATCCGTGGCAACGCTCCGTTAATTTGGCCGCACGACTCGATTTCGTCCACCGAGAACAAAGTGAAAGAGTTATTTTATGTTTTTCATAGTTTCGTTCGAATAACGAGCGCGAAGAATCGGACGACTAATAACAATGCACGGGAAGCAAAACTTTTCAGACATCCGCGAAGCATCGGTCGGTTAAGAAACTTGACGGGCTGCTTGCTGTCTTGAAATTCATTTCGAAGTTTCCGGTCGGTTTTTATTATATTTTGTTCGACCCTAATTAACTTCCGCCTCTTGTACCGAAGATCCGTTTAATAATAATTTCACGATAACTCGAGAAATAGGCCGATATTAACACTTTGGAGTTTGATTTATTTTTCGTTAATTTGCGTTATATCTGAAATCAAGTTATACGTTCATGTAGATGCTAATAACAAGAAATGTTGATTTTATTATTCCGTTATTTCTTTTAGACGCTAAGGGCTGGGGCATATGTGTCCCATTGGTTTACATGTAAACAAATGTGCGTGGTATGCGTTCTAAGACTAGTATATTCGTGTATTGTGGAAAAACAAGATTCATTTCTCTCAATAGGCGTACGAAATACATAGGTGGGACACATATATCCCGATAGACTCCAAAGGGTTAAATACACATTTTTTTTAAATTGATACAGCTCGTTATTCTCTACGAAAAGAAGTATTGGTATTTTTATGTCATAGAATCATCAATTTAGGGGTATTTTGATGAATCTTCTGTCTACAAAAGGACTATTTACATCACATTTGACACACAATATGCGAGTAATTTGTATTTAAAGATTGAAATTGGTCACCCCGTATAGAAGGTGGTTCACGAAACACAAAATAAATGTATCGAAGTTGACCTTCATAAGTTCTTATTAGCGCGTCGGCTCTCAAGAACTAATATCATCGATGCTATACAACTTTTTGTTTATCGATTACAAGGAGTATAACATCGGGTGCATAAAAAATTGACATAAGATCGAGACGCGATTCTTACTTATAACGTCGCGCGGTCCCTTTCTCCATAGCCTTTAACTATTAATATTAAGGATTATAATTCTTTACCTAAAATTCCCTTACTATGCATTATTTTTGAAGTGTAATGTATATGTACCGATAGACTCCAAAGGGTTAATTGAATCTCATCCTGACGGGGTGCGTATACCACAGTCGTTTTAGTTTCGCATTAGATTATGCAACGATTGGATTGCGGACCTTTATGCGTTCGTACAGAAAGAATGTGCTATTCAAAAATGATGGTATTTTTTCTTTCGCTTTCATCGCGAACTCTTTTCCGTTTTCGTTGCGATTTTTACGAAATAACCCGTTGCAATGGAAATTTGCATGAAAATTGACGGGAGACGGTAACGGTATCATTGAAGTTCCGCCTTATTTACGTCGCGGGGTTGATTTTATCGAAGGACAATGCTCTTCGCTCTTCCGTGAAAGTCACGTCCGGTTCGAAAAGTTCGAAGGCCCTTTGTTTCCAGGCCCAGAGAGTCCCGTTCCGGCGTTCCCTCCTTCCGGTTTCTCGATCGCATTTCCGGCCAACTTCCATATCCGTTCGAACCTTGTCTCCGTAGCTTTTTCACGAATTCCTCGGTTTTTCTTGGACAGAGAGAATTAATTCTCTGTTCCGCGGTTCTCTCTCATTCATCGTCCCATTTATAAAGAGGATTTGTTCCTCGGACATCTCGCGACTCTACGTACCCGCTTATTTACGCTCTTGTTGCGGTTGATTAAAAACGTCCCTGGGAAGCGCCGCGGATTTTCATTTCGCGTGAAAGCTGGATCGTTTGTGGCCGGCCGTTCTTTTCACCAGCCGTTCCTGTTCAGGGGCTTCTCATTTTTAACAAAGTAGACTTTATCCTCGCAAACCAGATGCTTCTTCAAATTGAAATCCGGCTGATGCCTTATCCTGTGGCGCTTTCATGCTGCATAATAAACGAAACGATTTCAAAGCGGTAATCTGTTAATTCTTTCCGCGGTGGTAACTTAAAATCGCAAATAAAGCATCGAATAATAACTATAACGCTCGATTTACAGAGAGTAAATGTTTATATTATATACTGTTACTCTACTGATTTATATTAGTTTATGAAAGTAACAATGAGTCGTTTATTCTGTTATTATGTTATAATTAATTATTATTATATCATATATATTATTATAATTAATTATTATTAATTACTATTATATTATATATATTATTATATAATTAATTATTATTAATTACTATTATATTATATATATTATCATAATTAATTATTATTATATTGTTATTATATTATATTAACTCGTAAATGTATCTTTACGATATGAATAATCGTAAATTAAAAAATTATTATTATTATCTAGTGATAATAGCGAATAATGTCAGTGATTATTTTTCGACAATGTCAGTGTTTGCAAAGTATTCGACAAGGTTTTACGATGTTCCTAGTTATGACATTTTCAAAAATTGAAGTCACTTCTGTTTACGTACGGACATTCTACTCCAAATCAGCTTCTGTTACAACAAACTATAATTAATTAACGTATGCGCCACGAATCGCTATAGCGATACCGCCCGGCGTAACGCATGCAGCTAAATTTTCGATAGAATGCATTTTGTCGTAGAATACGCAGAAGCGTGCGCTATAAATTCGTGCGACTCCGGATTTATTCACCATATTGCGAATTTTATCTACACACAGTGCACGCCCCTGTTTTATTGTTCGAAAGTCAAACAATAAATGCTTTTAATTTCAGCCTGCGAACGATGGAAGTAAATGCTATCGTTACAATCTATTTTTAGGCAACGCGTCCACCAATCTGCCTAGCTTTTCCTATTTGCACCTTTGGATTTCTGTTTCACTAAATTTCGTCTGTTGAATATTTATGGTTCAGCTGCGAACGTGTTATGTAGCGGTACAATTTTCCTGGCGCCAGTACAGTTCATCAAACGCTGTGTTTTAATTATTCTATGCATAGAAGAAGTGTATACGGAAATCATAATCTATATCGAAGCGAACTCTGTTCAAACAATTCGGTATAAATGTGAACATTAAGATCTGTCCTTGAAAATTGTATACCAGGCTACAAAATGATATCTAAAACATTTAACCCCTTGGCATGCAAATGAAACGGTATTTTCGCGTCCGAACAATACTATTTAACGCTAGATTTACGGAATCTGTTAAATGACGGGTCACTAATTTTTTAATTTACGATTATTCATATCGTGAAGATACATTTATGAGCTATTTATTCAATTTATATGTTACTTACGGCAAATGTTACAAATAATACTTGTTAAAAATCAGAATAAATGTCTTATAGTTACTTTTATAAACTAATATAAAACAGCTGCTTTTTGTGCTCCGTAAATATAGTGTTAATTTGGCTCAAGTGAACAGTTATGTGCAAGTCGAGAAAGAGAATGTCAAAAAATCGGGATGGTGGGGCATCTTGAACATTGTAAACAAACCAGAATCGACGCACGAGCGGAGCAACTGAGTGCAGTAACTTCTCCCCAATTTTCCTTCAGTTTGCAAACAAAAATGGACAATTTGGGAAGAGGAGATACGATTATTCGAGCCTCGTTTCTCATTTCTATAGTTTTCGATTGTCAACAATTATGAAAACGAGGCGCAAGGCTCGTATAAATCGTATCTCATCTTCCTAAATTGTCTATTGTTGTTTACAAGCTAGACGAAAATTAGGGAGAATTTATTGTATTCCCGTTTTGGAATACCACCCTTGGCAAAAAGTGTTCCATCACACGAATCCATTGTCTACCATTCTATTAATAAGTTGGTGCGTGTGAAATGCAGGCTTTTGTTTTCTGTAAATAACACCTATGGTTATCTATTCAATTATTTATCCATCTTTCTGACGATTGTAAAGATTGCAAAGACAATGAAGATTCAGAAAAATCTCAAACATCCGTGGCATAACTACGGTGGGCGAACCTGACGAGCTCTTGACGAATTAGACTCGTCAAAATCTACAGTGGCACATGAAATGAACGAAGACTCCGACTAGTCATTGTATGTCAAAGGGTTAAAGACACGATACGACTCATTATTCGAATCAAATTACGACATTAGGATTTCGAACGTTCTAGTTGCAACAAGCTAATACAAAAATGGGAGAACGACATTATCCAGGGTAGGTACAGTTAAGGCGTGAAAGGGTTTGGCGTCTCGAAATCATCGAATCCTGAGAAATGACGACCGTCGAAATGAATTGATCCATTTCGCCTCGGTGCACGCAACGGCTGACCATTCCTATCCGCTAGCGAAACGCATCTTGCACAACGCGATCTTAATAAAAGTTCCACGTGAACACGCGGCGTGGCGGGAATGCAAAGAAAGCACCTGATGATTAATATACTCGACGCATGATCGCGACGAGATGCGACGGTGATGTACGCTCCGCGCCGCGCCGCGCCGTGCCGTTGGAAACGGACGGTCTCTCGCGCAAGAAACCGCGGCGGTTTCAGGAAAACGCCGCGTAGAAATTGCATTCTTGCGCAGCCGTTTAGAAAGTGCACGGACAAGTGGACATGTAC